ACTTTTTGGAGGACCACAGTTTCCCAATAAATGTAGAAAGAGAGGCATTGATTAGGAGGAGGGTAGTGTAAGATGGAAAAGGTATATTTTGACTATATTAGAAAGTAGAGCCCGTAGTAAGAGAGAAGTGACTGCCCAGCTTTCTACTCAGGGCAGTTGTGGAATCTCTGCGCCTGGGGCAGACTTTGGATGAGGAGCTGTGTTTCAGGCTGGAAGATTCATCCTAGATCCATCAGTACAACTTGCTTCAGGCATCAATTGAGTTGAGCTCCAGTGGTTGTAGGGAAGTGCCTGTCAGCCTCCGGAATGGCTGCCAGTCCCAGTGCTCAGTGTTAGAACATTCAACCTCCCCACCCCCTATCTTTTCATAGGTAATTTGAGGGAAGACAGATCAGAACGCTAGGCAAGAAATCTTTTCAAATAAAATGACTGCTCATCTAGTTTAAGTGGCAGCCCATTTGAATGTTAATGAGTTTGGAGGCAAGGCCTGGGAGACCTTAGATGTTATTAGCATATGTGCTCCCAAAAGTGGGTTAGACTATAGGGATTAAGCCAGGTAGGAAGGACCAGGAAGGGACTGAGCCAAGAGGGGCACTTAACTGGCAGGGAGCAGAATTTGGGGCAACATAGGAGAAGCAGAGGGCTGGGGAGTAGGTCAGCAACCAGATATCAAGTGGAGACAAGAATGGGGAAAATCTGGTCCACTCCTATAGTCCTGAAGAACTAGGGGGAGTGAGAGCAGGAGGGTGGGTAAAGCCATAAATGCAGAAACCAGAGCAGAAACATGTGGGATTGGGGTTATCATTAATAACAAATACTAAGTGGGATGCCTGGGTGGCTCAATCAGGATTGAGTGGCTGACTCTTGGTTTTGGCTCAGGTCATGATCTCGGGATCCTGGGATTGGAGCCCCTACTAGAGCTCCACGCTCACTGGGGAGTCGGCTTCAGGGTAGGATTCTCTTTCTCCCTTTGCTGTCCCCCCTCCCTGCAAGTGTATGTGTGCTCTCTCTCTCTCTCTCAAAAAAAAAAAAAAAAGGACACTAAGTCTAAGTGATGCCCTGGGGCTGGCAGGAGTCAAGCTGGATGGCTAGGTAAGCACTAGGCTGCTGGAGGTGCTGTGTCGAGTATGGTGGGTGCTGTTGCTGCTGTTCTGTGTATGCTGCACCCTCCTCGGTCCTGAGATGCCCAGGCCATCCCTGCTGCACACATGATGTCCCCCAGGCAGTCTGCAACACTGTCAGCAAGCAGGGTGAACAGGCCAGGATTTGTCAGCAGTAGGAAGGAAATCAGTCTAGTCTTCAGAAGTCTGGCTGTCCAGAGAGCAAGAGAGGAAGGAAGGAAGAGAGGGAGAGAGGGAGGCAGGGAGAGAGGGAAGAAGGCCATCAGGTAACAAGAGAAGAAGGGAGAGGAGAGGACAGGAGAGGAAAAAAACCAGTTTATATATATCTGGCCATCTCCTTCCTCCACTTAAAATCCTCTAACACCCAACTGTTGGTTAGTACTAGTAGTCATCTCTGCCTTTTTCCCCACACTGCAGAGTCCTGATTTTTGTTCTTTTGTCCATGTCTACCTTCCATGACTCAGGTGAATCCTAATTGAATTGATCCTTGCTGGTAATGATTTCAGTAGTTGGCCAGTGCCCCAGTTCCAGTCAATGAGATAGGTCAGAAGGTCAGCAAAGGGACCCTCTCCCTCATGAGTTCAGAAACTCATTCAAAAATTGTTAATTATTTGGGGCGCCTGGGTGGCTCAGTCGTTAAGCATCTGCCTTCGGCTCAGGTCATGGTCCCAGGGTCCTGGGATGGAGCCCCTCATTGGGCTCCCTGCTCAGTGGGAAGCCTGCTTCTCCCTCTGCCACTCCCCCTGCTTGTGTTCCCTCTCTCTCTGTGTCTCTCTCGGTCAAATAAATAAATAAAAAATCTTTTTAAAAAATTGTTAATGATTTATATAGTCAGCTTATTAAATGTTGTTCACTAAATAATCAGTGATTAAAACACACAAGGCCCTTGTGCTCATCACACATGTCTGTTCTCCCAGTTCTCCCCAATAAGCTCCATGAAAGCAGAGATCTGCCTTTTTTTCCCCAGCTTCTGGAGTGGTAGCTAGCACACAGTAAGCACTCAATAAAAACTTGAAGAATGAATGAATGAGCAAATGAATGAATGAATGAGCACAGAAAGTGGGGAATTAAGGTACTCAGACATTGGGGGCATCTCTCACGTGGCCTGGCCAGTAAAACATTTGCTGGGATAATCAACTGTCTACTTTGTCTGGGACTGAGAAATTTCCTGAGATGTAGGACGTTCAGTGCAAAGACTGAGAAAGTCCCAGGCAAACCAAGACAAGTTGGTTACCCTATTCATGACCCTCCAAAGCAAAGGAGTTCCTCTGATTCTCCCTCACCTCCCACCCTTCTCTACCCATAATCTTCTGGGTTCATCTTTCCATTCCACCTCAAAATGAAAGGAAATTTTTCCAACCTGGTTATTGCTTCCTAAAATGGCAGGTTCTCAAGCCTGATGAGCTATCTATTTGTACCATCAGAATTTTAAATCCCAGACCCTTCATTTCTGGGAAGAGTACAGGCCTATTTTCAACCTTTTGTATTCATCTTTTTCAACTTCCTTTAGCTTCCTCATCTCTTTACCCTTTGTCTGCTCCCAAGACTGTCCAAGCAGTGCATGGTGGGTACAGAACTCCTCGTCCTTTGGAAGGTCTCCCCAGATCAAATCACTACAGGGATGCCAACTAGGAGGTGAAGAACAAGTCAGTACATGCAACAAAGCATGAACATTTGTGCATCTTAGCCTCCTATTTTTGAGACACCTGCCAACAACTCTTCCATTGCCTCTACCAAGCACTTTTTCTCTTCTACAATGAAATCTTTAGAGAGAAAAAGGGAAAATATAGGTTTGGAGTGTATATGGACACGCATCTAAACTGTCAGTGGGCTCTTACTAGACAAACTGAAATTTACTGTTAATGTAAACCAGGAAAACTCTGAAAATGACCAAAAAAGCTAATGGAGACCCAAACTGCAATCATTTTTTTGTTTGTTCTATGGCTTGGGGTAATGGTGTAAGGCTCTGAGCTCTTGCCAGAATTTCAGTTTTCTGATTCCTTGCCCAAGTGTTCTCTGTATTCAACGTCAACATGATACAACATCTATGTGTATATATGTCAGTAAATTATTTTCATATTCATTTCTCTATTTAAATATTTCAATTGGATATTTTTTAAATAAGCATCTAGAAAAAATCTGCACAAGGGAACAGGTGTAAAATTTTTTACTGATGCAGATTGGTTGGACTATTTAGTAAGGATTGTTGAATTTGGGGCATATTTCAATAAGGAAGAAACTCAGTCTTTGACAGGTTTTAAAGGTAAATCCTGCTCTCAAGGCATTTTTATGGGTTCTTCTATGACCTATACTGGGCATTTTTATGGGTTCTTCTACAGCCTGCCTATCACTAGGATCCTTTGTCTGTGGTGTTCCTGGCATGCACAGTGACAGGGATGCCAACTAGGGGGTGCAGAACAAGTCAGTACATTGGCCAGTGCCCCAGTTCCTTTGAAAATCAGGTGGTTCACCCTCCTTTTGGCAGCCACCTTACCCATCAGGCTCTAGCAGGATCTAACATGGCCCCAAGGCTGTTTCTTTCCCACAGCTCACCTCTGGCCTTTGGGAAACAGTCAACACATCTGTTTTTACAAATTAACTCCTCTTTACTTCCCTGTGTGAGCCTCTTTCCAGTCAAGTTGATCACAGTTAAGTTTCTGAAACATGAACCAGAAACCAGTCCGTTGTATGTCCCAAACCCCAGGAGTCACAAATGAAGCTCTTTAAGTGTCCTGTTAAAGCCCCTTTTTCCATGTGATATGGTTTCTGTTGATGCTCTGCCCACATCCCCTTCACTAGGTGGGTACACCCATCTCCTGGTTGCTGTGTCAGCTAACAACTCACAGCTGCCCCTTACCCAGCTAATGCCCCTCCGAGGACCAAGAGCTGCCTCACCTGACAGGTCACACCTCTCACACCCACGTTAGCCAGTGGCCGATGACTGACATGGGGCCCAAGAGGCCAGACCCCTTGCCTCGAGGTGGGACCACTCCACGGGGTACTTCATGCTCCAGAGCTCCCTGTGGGATCAGGCTGAAGCTCATCTCCAGCTGAGACCTCACCCTTGCTCAGCTCCTTCCCCTGTCCCCCATGCTTCTCTCACTTCCCACCTCCTGAGAGCATGCCCTCAACAAGCCACTTCACAAGGATTCATGTCTCAGGCTCTGTTTCTAGGGAATCCAACCTAAGACATAACCTACCACCCATGGAAGCAGGTTGAGTGGGTGAAACTCACAACACCCTATCAGCTATTTGCAAAAACCATATGTCCATCTGACCATATCCACACTTCATGCCCTTCAGTGGTAAGTGGCAGTGATAAGTGACAAGGGTATCCAAATAGATTTTAACCACTTTCTTGTTAAATCCAGCACAGGTGGGCGAGGGGAGATGGTAGCATCTGTTTGCTTTGCTAGGGGCCAGGAATGGAATAACTTCCTTTGACTTCCTGATATGATATGTATAAACTTCCAAGCACATGACAGGAGCCAGCTATTCATCTGGATCTTTAAAATAATATATTGAGGACTCATTGCATGCCACATGCTAAGTTCTCTGGTAAGCATTATATCATTCTGTCCTCATAGGGATTCTTCAGGGGGACACAATATGATTAATCCTATTTTATTGATCTTCATTCATAAAACTTCATTCATAAAACTCAGAAAACATTCAGCACCTAGGCCTAGTTCCAAACCGAGGTTCTGCCTAATATTTATTCAACCTTTCTCTTACAGAGCCAGTCTCCCCCCTCCCTTCCCCACCTGAAACTGCTCTCCCTTTTCCAATTTGGTGCTCCTGGCCTCAGTCCACAGTGATTCAAGCAGCTCCTAATTTCTTCCTTGTTGACACTTTGATGTTTTCTTCCTTGGCATTCAGATCTGCGTGACTTCCGAAGAGGAGCAGGATGGCTTTATCAGAGTCCTCAGTGGGAAGAAGAGAGGCCTCGTCCCCCTGGATGTCTTAGAAAACATCTGATTGCTGGCCCTTCCTGCCTTTGCGGTGGCCGGGCTCCGCTGCGATGCCTCATCTCACGCTGTGTCCACGCAGAGGAGCTGCCGCACTGACCCGCCCCCCCGGGAAACAGTGAGACAAGACTCACGGATCTGAGACTGGGGTACCAGCCACAAGACAGAGGCCCCATCTCACAGCATTGCCGGGCTGCCCACGGTGGGGGCGGGGCTGAGAGAGCTGAGTGCCGTGCAGGTGGTGGCGGCGGCAGGGCGGTAGCCACAGCTGTCCCTGAGGACCCACCTCATCCCTGTCCATGTGATGTAAGTTAGCCCACTGGAGTGTGCTCCAGCTCGCGGCGTGGGCCCAGTGCGAGGCTCGGATCCCCACAGCCAAGTGTGATTCTGGTTCCAGACGCGTGTCCCCAGTGCCGGCCCATCCGCATCATCACATTTGCCGTCTCTCTGCAGAGCATCAGGAAGTCCTGCTTCCCAGCCCCCAACATGCGAGGGCTCCCCGCAGCCCCCTCACTTTGTGATTGCGCTGTCTCTTCTGTCCTCTGAGTGAGTCCTAAGGGTGCTGTGAGACGTGAGGGCTGAGCTGGTGGCACCAGCTGCTATTCTAATTACCGACAGAGGTGCCAGAGAAGGACACGAGGCACTGATACAGAGGGCAAAGTAGGAGTAGGTGGGGCAGAGAGCCTGATTTATTGAAGATTATGCAGCCCCTTCAGTTAGAAAAGCATTTCCCTGCGGAGAGGAAGCTGGGAAAGAGAATGGGGCAAAAAGTCCCAGCAATGAGCCCATTTCATTTCACATCCTCTGTACTAGGGGCAGCATTTTCGCTCATGCCATCCTGGAGGATCCCCTTTTGGAGGCTGAGCCCACCCTGGAGAGAACTAGAAACATGGAGGAGAACCAATAGCATCTTAGGAGAAAAGTAGCCAAATCAAAATCCATTCTTCTCTAGGGCAGTATATTATACCCTAGCAGATGTAAAATGGAAACAAATCCTTAGTGCTTCATCCCTCAGAAAGTAGAGGAACTTGGGTCCTATTTAGCATCAAGTAGGAGAGTCTCTCTTACTCTATACTTGTACTAATGTTTACAAGCATTCGATATACTGTGATGCCTCCCTCCGCAAGCCTCCTCCTAGCATTCAAACTTGCATCTGATTACTTAGTCATTAATATGGTTAAACTTCAATTCATAATGACCTTGGGATCAATGTCAGCTCAATTTATTTTGTTACAGAGCAATAAAAGCATTAGAACAACTGGTTTTTAAAAGACTTAAGTGGGTACATCTTATGCATGTAAGCATTACTTCCCAAACCCTAGTATCATTAATCTCCATTTATTTCTTTTGTTACTGCTCAGCATGATGTTGGGAGCTGAGAGGGGATGGCTGCTGGTTTCACAGTAGTTTGGTTGCCTTACTATCATTTTAAAGCCAGCATCCAGAATTTTCTCCCTCTCCAGTACAACCTGCAAAACTGAGTGTACAGAGTCAAGATGGGTTCTCCGAGAACCAGGGTGGATAATATGACTGCCATTCTCTAAAATGGAATGCCAGAGTACAAACACTCTCTGCCTCTAACTGAGTAGTCCATTGAATAAAGACAACACAGTGGCTGGAAGGAGCATAGAAAACGTGTGTCCTGATCTTTCTGGTGGAGTATCCACTGAAGTTTTTGGGTACAGTGGTATCATATCCTAGACAAATTTAACTTGCATTACAAAATCAGTTTGCCTTTGGAAACCGAATAGAAGGAGGCTGCTGTAGCCAGCCCCCACGGTGGTCCCCCAGTGCTCCCCCGCATCCTGATATTCTCGCCTTTGTGTAGCCCACTCCCACATTGAATCAGGACTGATCTTATGTGACCAATAAAATACAGCAGAAGTCCTACCACATGACATCTGAGGCTAGGCAAAAGAAGTCCTTGCAACTTCTGTCTTGCTCTCTGGGAACACTCACCCTTGGAACCCTGAGCCACCATGTAAGTTTACCTACTTTGAGGCCACGGTGTGGGGGAGGCCCAGTGGACAGACCATATGTGTCTGCAGCTGGGATCCCGGACATCAGCAGCCATCCCTGCTGGGCCTGCCCAAGTGATAGATTTATGAACAAAATAAATACGATTTGGTGGTTTTTAAGTCACTATGTTTTGGAGTGATTTGTTTTACAGAAATAGATATCTAGAACAGGGACTCGTATTTGAGCCAATGTTAGAAAGAAGAAAAAACACACATCCTGCACAAGGAGGCCCAGAATTTTTACAAACATCAAGTACTGGTGGACAGTGAACCCTCCCAATGCAAGATATCTGGTGTTCCTTAAAGATCTGGAATCTTGCAGATATCAGAGAAAAAGCTACTCTTCAATGCAGATTGCCGTGGATATTCACACACACACATATACATACCCAGACTTTAGGAGCCACAGCATTTATTCTCCTCCCGCCTGTCTGCAGAAATGGCAAGAACAAGGACAGCTGTGACCTACCAAAGTCCTGAAGGTGTCCAAGATTCAAAAAATGGCGGGGAAAAGATCCACCGTTTGGGAATGGGAGTGAGATGAAGGCCTCAAGAGACAGATTCTGGAGAGGGAGAGGGTTGGAGAGGAAGTGCTAATACGAAGGGAAAAAAGGGGGGCCTGAGGGGATATTCTTCATAGTGTGAGAGAACAGCCTTGTGCCCCCTCACCTCCTGCCCCTGCCTGCAGCTAAGGGAGGGCATATATCTAACTGGAACAGGGATGCTCTGCCCTGTACTCCATTACCAGTGCTATAGGACTTGGATTCTATAGAGGTGAATTTGAAGTGAAGAACTGATTAAACCTTCCTCAGGACTTCAGGATGTAAAGAATAGAACTTCTTTTTACCCCATCACCAGCAGACAACTGAGACTCCTTTAATGTGGGCTATGGGCTACAAAGAGAGCCCATGTGTAGATGTCCAACTGACTACTAGTAGGATTGATTTCACAGACCACCTCCTTCCTCACCTCTACACACCAAATACACACATACACACGCTCCTGTCAGGAAGAAGAGTCCAGCATCTGGGTCATATATTTAAAGCAACCAATGAGATGGTACATGGTAGGCACTTTTTAGAGTTAGTGTTCTTCACTATTAAAGGGGGAAAAATAAAATCAGGGGGAAGGTCATGGTACTTGTAAATAGTCTGGTGTCAAGTACTGCTAAAAGGTAAAAAAGCAGCAAGGAGGCCCAAAAGCCAGTCGAGGTCTCTGAAAAGGGTCAGGAAGGAAACCTACTGGTTGACCTTAGCCTAGAACCAGGTGCAGGCAGCTGTAAAAAAGTGTTGTGTGCTCAACTAGCTTAGATTTAAATAAAATAAACCAGGCTTCTTTACTCAGGATTTCCCAGAGCCTTTAATTTTCTAATTTTCACAGTAAATCTATAAAAGGGGATTTAGACCCATGGAACACCTATTAGGATCAACTAGACTATTCCAAGGCACATAGTTCAGAAAATGCTGTGGTAGAGAATTCTCATATAATATTGGATCCATCTAATACCCTCTCTCTCTTCCTACATCTCACTAAGATACCCATGAATTACTGAAAAGGACAAAAGTACATAATCATAGTAAAAATGGAGGCTGAAAGACAATCTACTCTGGAATCAGTATTTAGGGAGTAGGAGAAAGTGGGATCTGTGTCCCCAATGGGTGAAAAGCTCAGGAAGAAGAGTAACTTTCTCATGCTCTAATGGCTTTAGCAAATACTGAGCAGTAGGGCGTAGGCTGGTATAAATCTGGGAGTAAAAGAGAGTTCAGCATTGCCCAAAATAGCCTCCCCAGGAAACTGAGTGAGCAGGTGTGTTCCACAGCTTTAACACAAAACAAAAATCCTTACGAACAACTCGGACCAAAAAAAAATTAAAACTGGTTTAATGATATCCCATAACGGTGTCTTAGATTTTGCTCAGTTGCAATTCTGTTGTGTGTTTTGTAGAACACCTGGTGTTTTTGACCCTTAGAATATATTTTCTTTTCCTTAGCTTCCAATAAGGAGTTTTAAATAGTCCTCAATCTTCCCCTGGGTAATAGAAATGTAACTGTACCTCAAAACAGTAACAAGATAATAGCAATTTATTTTATAGTTCCTTTTTAAAAATGAAAAAGTAGTAGGCTTTTTTATCATCTCACCATTAAGTTTAAACAGCTGTCAAACATTTTCCCTGTGTTCATGGAAGTCAGGATGTACTGAAATCCTGAAAATACACCCTGGAAAAATACAATACCTATTTCCAAGAAAAATGGTGGATCCTCTTTAGATTTCCTCCACTGGCCTCATTTCCTCAGGTTCTCAGGTTACACCTGACCCCATCTGTTTTTATGCATGGCAATATTTTTCTTTATCTTCTCCTTTTAAACAAGTTTCCTAAAAATTGTTTTCTTAGTTTACTTTCATTCTTTACTAAGGTAAAAAAAAAAAAAATCATCCAAGGTTATGACTTTTCCTCTGAGTTCAGCTTTGACCATATGAAAGTGTTCCCATTTCCATTCATTTCTAAATACTCTGTAATGAGAGTTTTGATTTTCCCATAGATTTTTATTTTGTGTGTGTATATGTGTGTGTGATTAGAACCATTGTGCATTGTGGTCAGAAAATATGATCCACAGGGTTTCTGCTTTGAGGAAATTAATTGGCATTTTGTGCTCTAATATATGACTAATCTTTAGAAATGTCCAATGGATGCTGGTAAAAAAAGAGAACTCATGTGTATAGTATATAAAGTTTAATATGTATCTGCTAAATAAACAAAGTGTTCAGGTCATCTGTGTTCTCATTTATGATTACTAATGTGCTCTCTCAAAGACACGGAAGTCAAGAGTAAACAACAGTGGACTGAAATAAGAGACATCTTGCAAGGATCTCCAATTGCTTGGTTGGTGCCAGCCCTTGGAGGGAGGAAATGCTCTTCACCACAGCTTCCCCTTTTACATTTAGGTTGAATCACTAATGTCAGTTCTTAAGTAAACATTCTCTTTAACTCCCTGGAGGAAACTGTAAAGGACCCACTTTTAAGTGAAGAGGTTCCAAAAATATTCTCAGAAAACTTTAATATTGGGTCAGGGAATTTTGAAAGAAAAAATTACAGTGAAATCAACAATCACTGTTGGGCTAAGAGCTCATCACAGCTCCAGTGTGTGCCACCCACAAGACTGGGAAGGGTGGAAATAACATCATAAACTGATAAAATGTATTCATACCTAAGAGTCTAAATCTCAACATGGTGAATCACAAGCTGCTGGTTTCAAACATGGATGTTTCTTTGGTCATTAGATGCTTGTCATTTTTACAGTGAACTCAACAAATACTTGTTGGAGTCTACTGGGAATGACTGTCATCAAACAATAATACTGAAAATGTATACTTAGTGCTATAATAGAGAAAGAACAGTGAACCACAAGAATATGCTAGAATTATGCTGCTTCCATTAGGAACAGGGTCTACAAAAGTTCAAACCTCTCATGCCAAAAACGTTCTGGCTTTCCAAAAGGCAATTTTAGACTGAATGTGGTAAAGCTGCTTTTCAGGTATCTTTTTTATAATTTACCAACACCGGAAGCACTCTAGTTTCATTAGAATTTATGGATGATGAAGGAGGATATTTTGTGGAGATAAGTTGTGTTAACCTTAAAAAATAAAACTACCAGTTATTTTACCATCAAAAATGGATTTATTCAGGAACAGCAGAGAATTGCAATCCCAGATAAGCAAGCTACAGCACAAAGGAGAAGACTGCTCTTTTATAGAGGAAAAGGGGAGGGGCAGTTGGGGAGGCTGTAATAAACAAAAAGTCCATTGGAGGAAACTGGGAGTCCTAAGTATAGTGGCTTTTCATTGGCTGTCTATCATCATGACTGTCTCTAATTAGCTGAACCACTGCTACCAAGGGAGGAGGAAGCCTGCCTTCCTCCTGCTGGGATACTACGGTAGCATCCAGGTGCAAGATTCTGGCTCTTCCTGTTCGGTCTGCAATTGATGAGGAGTGTAGGGCATGACAACTTTCCCTGATGACCTCCCAACACCATTCTAAATAAGATTTCCTTTTACTAATTTTCTCAGGTGAAGCAGTATTTTGTAAAAGTGAGCCAGTTCTTCAGCAGGGTGCTCCCTTCAGGCTCTAGTGTTGAGTGTTTGTGCAATATTAGCAGTATTGGTAGGAGATTGGGTGGGAGATAGAGGAGCTGGTGAGGAGGAGGGGATAGGGTTAGGTGAGCCCATGGTGTGGTGATAGAAGGAGAAGGCTGCTTACTTATCTATGCCAACTCTTATTCCAAAGAGCATTTAGGTTCTTTTTTTCTTTTTTTTTAATTTTATTTATTTATTTGAGACAGAGAGAATGAGATACAGAGAGCATGAGAGGGAGGAGGGTCAGAGGGAGAAGCAGACTCCCTGCCGAGCAGGGAGCCCGATGCGGGACTCGATCCAGGGACTCCAGGATCATGACCTGAGCCGAAGGCAGTCGCTTAACCAACTGAGCCACCCAGGCGCCCCGAGAATTTAGGTTCTTGAGCTCATCTCCAGAGAAATGCCCCAAGGAGAGAAAGCCATCTGGTAAGACCTCATTCATCCCACATCAATCTTGATGTCTAGGACCCTAGAAAAATAATTCAGAGAATAATAAAGTTTAAAACATCTTCAAAATGGAAACACAATAGAGACTTCTTCACAACAGAGGAAACGAGGATTTTTTTTTAAATCACAGATCCTGTAATTTGGGCCAGATTCCTACCTTATACATGATGAACCTCACAAGAGCCTTCCTGCTATAGAAAGACCATGAAATTTCTCACCCTAGTGCTGTAGTTGCTTTTCTTTTCTTCAATCACAGGAAAAAAAGGTAAAATCTTAAGTATTCAGAAATTAATTTTATAGAATCCATAACTCTTACAGACATGTGATATTAAAACCATAAAATTCAATGCAATGAAGCAGTGCAAGGCAAATCTTCTTGAGCCAGTGCTGGAAATAAAGAAATCCATGGGCTCTGGGGACCAGTAAATGTTACTTGTACCCAGGAGGATCACCATTCGAGGAGTATCATGAACTCTCAGCAAAAGGTATTGGGTCAGTGAGTGTGCCAGGACTTGGGCAGAAGGGAAGGGGCAGGAAGCAGA